GAAGTTGCAGTTTTTTGTTTTAATTTCAGTGTATAATAGTCGCACCATCGGTGATGGTACATTCAACATAACCACGTCTTAGGGTTCGTGCAGATTTAACGTCTACACGACAGTGTAATATGTATTTCTTCACAAAAAATCTTGGAAATTGTTGTTAAAAAAATCCATTTTTCACACACAACAAAACAAGTGATCACAAAACATAGAATACAGTGACGTTGGAGAAGAGAATAGACCAAAGGAGATCGGAATTGATATTTAAATTAGTGTCTCATAATGTTAGTGATGGGAGAATACATTTGCGATCAGTGGAATGTATTGGAACGGTTAAAAAATATGATTGAATCGTTTTTTACGTTATCTCGACTGAAAGACTGGAATATCTGCTCTGTTTCTGTATATATATTTTTTGTGGTATTGTTGCATAAAGTAGTTGGTTCACGAACTAGTTTCTAGAACTGAACGCCACTTAATGAAACGAACTGGAAAGCACATCACTTTTTCAAGTAATCCAAGAAGGGACAAATTGTCATTTCATCACACGAGTGATGGGAGAATCAAAAGCCTGAGATTCGCTTTGCTTCTGTGGCTCGGAGATATAGTGTTTTCTTCTGATAAAACTAGCGCAGTTTTTGTGTTTAAAATACTCTACCTTAGTTAATACCCTTGACCCTAAAGTTGTTCCCATAACAATATTAACAACTCTCATGTCGTCTCGCGTATTTCGAAACGATGTCAAAGGCCGGCAGGGGAAAATCTTTCTCTGAGAACTGAAAATCATTAAACGCGCTGTTTTCAGTCTATTTTTATTCTATCCCTTGGGGTCGTACAGAATGAAGAAAAGACTACAGTGCTCAGTGGCCACTTAGTAGCTCAGTGCTCGTCTGTAATGATAATATTCAAATACTACTAAACACCTAAATAGCTTTCTGGCCTTTCAATTTCGAAGCTGCCAGTCCTCGCTTAGAGATGGCAGCACAGTTAAGGGTAGACTCGGGGTATACGGTTACGGATGGTTTATGATTCCTCTCGATATCGATATATCGTCATGAAACCATCGATGCGTAAAGATCGATGTTCTACGTCCGATGTATCGATGTTTTCGATACATCAATGTATCGTCTATCGTCGCCATCCCTATATTGTATCCCCACCAGTCACCAGTCAAAAACCTTAACCTCCATATTTTATTACTATTTATAATTCTTTTTAGCTCTTATTTTTCAGTAATTACTAATAATTTTAGGTCTATGTCTACAGTAATAGCATTATGCACCTCGGAGATGTAGGGATTAACATGTTTACACATATCGGTGTTTTTTTTGGGATGGGGACAACATACTGTTTTGATTGCTTTGAAGAATTCATTAACCCATGAATTATAACAAATGGTTACTATTATGATGTAAAGAGAGATGAGGAATTGGTTGGAATACATTTATATTCTATTTTCTTGCAAATCCGCAACAGGTATGTGTAGCTTTAATGATCACATATACACACAGTATATTGAACTTAACAAATTTAGAGATTGCCATGAATTAACAAACGACCAAACCTGCTGCCAAATTTGACAGCTAGAAAATCGACCTATTATTCTCGCATTCCCATTCGCTGAGGGGATAACGGATGGTCAAATGTACACCTATAACATAAATCAAAATTCATGAAAGTTGTCCTGTTGTTCATCATGTTGGAATCAAAAAGTGGTTTTGTTTATAATACAGTCGAATTTTCACGATTTTATTCAACATTTTATAGAAATCACTGATATTCTGAGACCTTTGACAGCTTCCGTCAAATTGCATTTCGATAAGGTATTTTCCTATTGGTCCATAATAATAATGTTGGTGAAATCGCCCTAAGAGCGGTAGGTTAAGTGGCCTTCAGAGGCTAGCTTGCTTGAGCGCCACGGGGGCTATGCACATCGCTCCCGCTGCATGTTAGAGGTTCTTGTAGACCTACCACCATTACACATATTTATTGAGAGCAAAGCTCTTTCCATGGTTCACAGAATTAACTTAAGGCCAAGTCAGCAGGCACTGAAAAGATCATCAGAAACTATACACGGAGTTCAAGGCATATACTGTATTGGTCCCAATCAGTGTTGCCAAACTAAAAATATGACATCTGTAGATAGTGTCGTTGAAATTCAAGGACAAAATGGTAGGATAAAACAATCAGGGCCGTCGCAAGATTTGCGGTAAATCAGGGCATTTGCGCCACGTAGAGCAGTCTATGAAGAACGTATATTTTTGTATTCAGCACGTACATCACATAACACAGTTTTTAAGGACATCTTTTCCTAAACGAACATTAACTTATTTATTACAACTAATACAATAAGCATACTGGTCGCTCTTCAAGCACTTTTGCAAGCATCCTGGAAACTCCTTTCCAAATACTAATATTTTTCTGTTTTACTCTGAACTTGAAGCGTCATCACTTGATGAATTCAATATCTGGTATCTAATTAAAAGCGGTCCACCTTGGTTTCCCTATTGCTTATTCGGGGATGGCAATGGCAGCAATCTACCAGTCTGCACCTGTTGTAGGCGCAAAAACCAATACAGGGAAGTGGACTGAGGTATGTGTGTACATGATTATGTATGCCTCTAATTAGAGGAACCAAGTCCACGTCCTCGGGTGCCCGACTGCTTAAGTGTACGCATATGTATGATTGATGATATGGCGAAATACAACTACATAGATTACATATAATTATTTTATTAGCTTTCATTTTTGGTTCCAGCTCTATTCGTTAGGAAATCTGAAAATATCTGAATTGCTCTAAAAGCTCGTGAAAATGAGGATGTTTTCGGTATTTCTGTAAATACGGTCTCATTTCGGTAGAGATACCGAAAAATCGGTAGGTTCGGCAACACTGGTCTCATGGACAATTCGATAAAAACTGCCAAACAACAGTAACAAAAAGGAAGGCGTGGAGAAAGGATGACCTATACATGCAGAAAAGCGGCTCGAAATCTGAAGACAAAAAATCGAGATATAGCAACAATATTTCAGGCTGAAGTAAAGTCATGCAAGTCTGAGGAAAAGAGCTAATGACGAAGGTGTCAAGCATCCATTAAGGCATTAAGTTCGGCACAAATATCGTCCAAACTAGTATGGCATTGTGTAAACACTCATACAGCGGGTCAATCGAACAAGGTAACGTTGCTCTGGTTAGAAGGGCACGAAGTGCACAAAGGAAATGAGAAGGCGGATGAGCTAGTCCAGAAATTCACCTTATAGGTCCAGAGCCTTTCTTTGCATGAGTAGAACACACATTAAACATTCCATGAAGATTTTGACGCAAAACCTCCCTAGTTATGGGAACGGCCAGGGAGAATGGAAGCAAAATAATGAGTCTGCATTTACAGAGGATCTTCTAGGATTTAACAGTAAGGCCATAAGGGCCATACTGTGTCTCTTAACAGGTCACTGTCATCTAAATCGGACAACGAGTATGAGGCCACATGCTGATTCTGCAGAGAGCATGTGATAAATCTCCGTGCATCTCCTGTGTTACTGCGAAGGTCTGGCAAGTTGGCGGCGCCGTGGTTCGTATACCCATTATTGCGCAATTGAAGTGTGTATCAGTTAGTGGAACAGGTTGATTAATTTAACGCCCTTACCTTGGAATGGAGCAGCGGAACTCTGGAAGATCATTCAGCAATCTGTTCATATCCCTTCTGGAAGTGACCCATCTGAAGACTAAGCAAATGAATAGAATGCTACACAAGCTGCACATTACGATAATGTTAAAATAATGATAGATTTAGAAGGGTTTGATGTTATCACAGTTCTGCTCATCCATGCCTGATGGACAATCCAAACTTCTGTCGCACACTTGGTCTTTGCTGATGCAGACATTATCGTTGGCACACATAATCCTGCCTAAAAAGTGTAAGAATTGTGCCAAGTTTACAGTATGCCAATGGAATTTCTTCCTCTGAGGACCCTTCTATAATTTTGCCACGTTATTAGCCGGTTATACGGACTCAGTTTTCTGTTTCTCTGTTTGGCCGAGCTTAACACATCGGAAAATGCCCGATAAAACCGCTCCTCTATTCCTATTGGAGGATGCAAAAATGTTATGAAAATATAAGAACGAATCGAAAAATAGCGTCTAATAGATTGACTCTGCACTTCTCACGCAACGCTATCAGTTCAATATGTTGATAAAAGTTAGCTCCTCGAAATAAGACAACGCAAAGCGTCATCGACTACAAGAATCAACCACTGTAAGAGTGTATAGCAGCTCTCAGTCACCACTGTGACCGCTAAAGGCTGACCGTTCTGGCGGTATAATAGATATGGTTTACTCTCCATTGAACATGATGCATCTGTCGATCCGTCCGAAGACCTAACCATGGACAGCTGAACTGAGATCTTTACAGTTCCAACCGATAGCTACTATACACTCTCGCAAAGGTCGATTCTGGTAATAGGTGCTGCTTTGCCCAGTCTTACTTCTATAGATCTCACGCCTTGGATAAAGGATATGCTTTCGTTCGTTGTCCCCAGAGACCAGTCTAGATCATTCTGATGAGTTGCCAAGAAGCACGAAACAACTGTCCATGGTTGGGAGGTTGAGGACAAATACCTTTGGAATGAATTTTTAGCGCGACGCTACCCACCATGACGAAATGGTGTTGTGCGCTTTCGTGGTGAGATGCCTGGCAAACGACTGAGGAGTTTTAGTATGCCGTATCTTCTAGTTTTTTGATTCTTAAGGGAAATCTATGTGTAAAACGTGCGTATAAAATGTATTAACGCTAAAAAACTGAGATATACCCTCCCCACTCTCTGCATTGGTGCACCCCCTCCAAAATGAGTAGGCGTGTCTAAACCGTTTCCCCTTACGAAGCCATAAGACCGTCAAAAAACGAGGAGCGATTTTATTTTTTTAAACGGAAAATGTTGTCAGTGTTAATTGCTTCCAAGGGTTGAACATCCTCGTGGACACTATGTTAAAAAATACCATGGATAATATGGACCATTTATTCTACATTGCATCTTCCCCCTTTGAGAAAATTCGAAAACTGCCGAGATAAATCCTTGTCCTTACCTACGCACTTATCAGTACAATTCACTTCATCTTCCCCTTTCGGACAATGTACCATTCCATCACATCTTTGTGTGTCATCGAAGCAAACCCTATATGTAGTGTCGCACAAACTAGCGTTAAATTGACATGGCCCACACCCCAAATTATGCGAATAATCTTGACAGATAAAGCTATCCGTACACATAACACTTTCATTGTAACATTTGCTTTTATCGTTACATTGGTAGTCACTATAAGAACATTCCGAGCTGTTTCTGATCATGTAAGTGAGAATGAGCTCTAGATTATTGTGCTTAGCTTCAAGGACAACGTATATTGGGCTGTTGGTTTGATTGATAAGGCTTTAGGCTTGTCTATTTTTTCGTTGCAAAGCCTCTTGATCATTCTTTTGCCATTTGAGATGAAAAGACAGCATTCGTTGGGTTTGTAACACCACGTGGTCTCGCTGTGGAGGATTTTTAGTGTAGTTATCGTTTCAGGACCTGCAAAAAGGAGCAATTTACAGCAGCATATCTTACAATTCCGAAATCTAGAAAGGAACATGTTTCGTGGATAAATCCGGTCGCAGTGCAGGATTTTGAAAGCAGTTTATTTGCTGAAATGCTAATTTTCCTACTCATACAATAGGGCTTCAGCGTCCCAAATTATCCTAGTGTACACAGTTTCCTTAGTGTAAATACGGCGGACGAAAATGAAAATCAAGCATGTGAAGCTTTTGAAGCTATAGAAAAGAATTTTCGATATTTCTTTCCGTTTCGGCAATGTCACCTATAATGTTTCTTCTGCAAATTTGATATGTAGACAGTGCCGCTAGATCCGATGTGTTTCAAATTCCGCCAGAAGGTAAAACAAGTCGGTATTAGTTAGTTTATAAGCTTAAATAGTTTTATTAAAATTATATTTTTCGTTAGGCTTTGCTGCTTTAAGGATAGCCTTTTTTATTTAAAACGTAGTTTCAAAATTCACTGCACCTCATACTAATTTTAATTTAAATTTCTGCTTTGACATGCTCAAGTGTCATGCTGTTTCGACTCTCAAGCCAAATCAAGCTGGTCTGGAAGATACCATTTCCGATGTAGCGTTTGATACTGGTATTGAAGCCATAAATAAAAATAACTTTTTAAGATTTGCTAATTTTGGTTGTCTTTAAAAATTTTGTGCCACTTTTGTAGCGGCGTCAAGTCTTTGTTTTGCACTGCTGCCTTCACTGCTTTTTTGACTGCCTCTTTACTATTTATTGATTTATCGGGACATTTAGGCCCGTATCGTCAGTCGTCCCTACAATTGTAGGGCGCCTTTATGGGCTCCTTGATTGTCATAGTTTTCTACTTCTCCATGTCAGCGCTCTATTTTGAGGTTATGTCACAAACATCAATTTGCATCAAATTGTGCTTGCTTTTGAGTTATATCATGTTTTATTAGCCTGAAATTTCCTACAATTCAAAAAGAAAACATAACTTCACAATAGGAGATCGCTGACGCTGACAGGGAACAGGTACAATCTAGAAATTTTTGAAGGAGAGAAAAGATTATGATAATCAAGGAGGCCATAAAGGCGTAATACAATTGTAGGAACGACTGACGATACGGGCCTTAGTGTCCAACGCTATGTGAAGAACACAATGAATCGGTCATTTCAGAAACGTCTTGACCGCGTTGACCGAAATATCACTAATTTAAGAATTTTCTTCTTTCTTATGTACCATAAAGATATTAAAACATGCAAAATTAAAACATGTCACATGTTAGTAAGTCACTATTTAAGTGTAATCTTCAATAATTAGTAATGAAAAAAAAAATATCATTAATAGGAACCTTTTGCATAAGTTATACTTATATCACTAACCCTATTTCATGCTATAACGACATGAGTCCACAACAGCTTTGTGAACTCTTTTCATTATTGTTATTATTGAACTGTCAAGGTTATTTTTCAGTTCAATCTTTTAAAATCCATTTACTATATTAGGCCCAAAATAGTTATTTAAAACGACTTTACTTATCAATGAATCTTTATTGCCTCGAAAAGTTCACATAGGCTGACTTAGATCTAATTTCATAGAGTATATAAGTATTTCTTACAGTACGTTGGGAAACGAAATACATACATCGATTTGAATTTTTAAAAGCGCAAGATGGATATATAGGTCCAATTTAAAAAGTATATTTTTCATTTTTAATATGAAACGGTGAAATTACTATCGACCATACAAATTGTAAACTAAAAAACGTTCGCATATTACTTGTGTATTAAGTTGTATTTAAATATTTATAAAAAAACTCCTAATCAACGTAATCAGTTATTTTATGGTTTTATTGTACAAACCATCATGGACACTGGATTGGTAAAAACAGAAAGCACAAATTTGCCGAAAATTCACGCATTGATGGTTTGTAATTTTTTCCGTTCAACCCAGATGTCTGCTGTATTGAGGTGAGGAACATCAACACTTGTATGAAAGTACAGTACATCTGATATAATGATAGACATAAAAAGAAAGAACAAGTAATACACTTACATAATCTTTCTTTTCAGAAGTCATTCAAAACTAAGCTGATGCTTCATAACCTCAATAATTTTATCTAATATTTTATTTCTTCTGACAATTGATGATGCCGAAGGCAATGCTCAACTCAAACGAGTCGATAAAATCTGCACAGTAAAATGTAAAGTATGTATATCCCGAACATAAGGTATGCTCCAAGCAATACGCAGTGTTGCGTATATTTATTTCCCTGGGCAGTCTAAACCTCAGCTTTCCTGGTATCTTTATCGATGTGTTTTTACATTCTTCGACGATACGATAACGATGATTACTATATTCTTCATGTAAACTAGTAGAAATCATGTTAAAAAGTTTAGGAGGTTATGCTGTTGTCAGCTGCCGTTTACAAATGGTATGACGTCAGAGCACATTAATATGAGCCAAACATGGCGGACAGCGCTTTCGCTTGTATATTTTTAAATTGATGGTTTATCGTCTTTTAGGTTTTAAAATATAGTTTTAATTTTATGGTAAAATATAACTTGGCCCTTTTTGTAACTATCGCCGATTCAAATCTGATGCCAGTTTTTTGCTGAGATCGACAGAAGTCACCGAAAAGCCGATTTACTTAGCTTAAACCTTAGGTAAGATTTCGCGACCCTTCGCGATATTTCGACGACAATAGCAATTTGCAATAAGCATAACAGATTATTCGACGGAGGACAAAAATAGAAATTTTGCTTGAAGGTCAAAGGCATACTATTGAAAATGACCATGTACTGTTATTTCAAGATATTCAGAGTCAGATTTATAGACCTTACTTGAGGCCTTGCAAACCATGGAAATCAAATATCTCTTTGGAACCAGTGAAACAATGACGCTTCCTTGAGAAACGTTCAAGGGATGATTTAAATTGTTATTTCAGAGTAGGCTGTAACAGCTGTCATCAATTTCGGAAAGATTAGTCTTAGGAGAATTAGCTTTATTTGTGCTAAATATCAATAAACAATGCAAAGCGCTATCAGAGAGAAGTGAACAAACTGAATATAGGCACCGAACTGCTCTGCTGGTTACAGATTGTAGACTACGTTGTCTGATTCAACTACTCCAGTATTTAAATAAACATACTTTATACTGAAATCATCTTATAATGTGTGACTATGAGAAAAATAGAAGTTTAGCGACGAGAAGATGGCTTTCATCGAGATACTAGACAATTTAAAGGGATCATTGAAATAAAAGCAGATGGCAGCAGCCGAGCAGTTCGGTGCAACTGGATGCCTAAATTCAATTTTTTACTTCTTTGTGATTGCGTTGTAATTCGAGGGAGCAAACACATTATCACATTGTGTACTGATATATTTAGCGCAAATAAAGCAAACCATCCCAATTTTATTATCAAAATCCTAAATAGATACGGCTACAAAAATCTGACATCAATGACAGCTTGTGATGATCACTGCTACAGCCTGCAGTGCAATAAAAATTTAAATCCTCCTTTCAAGGTTCCTCAATGAAGCGTCATTTTCACTATTTTCAAGGAGAGATCCATTGTTTCCAAGGAAGCATCAAGCCTTAAGGAATGTGTATGATATACATCTGACTTTTAATATAAGAGCAAACGTTCAAGATTTTGCTATTGAAAATATGTTTTCTGTATATTTTTAATTTGTGAAATGTAAAAATTACCAGAATGGATGGTCCAGTTGCAATAAATAGAAGATACCGATGGATGGTACTCTATTTCCATGATGCCTCTTGCGTTGCGTAGGTCGACTTCTCCACAATAGCCCGTCCTGTTTGCAGGGCATAGTTGAATCAACAGGAAAACTACAAATATCACCTTTTCAATCATATTTTTGACATTGACAGTAGATGTTAATGTTAACCTAGGATTTTCGAGCTATCATCACGTTTTTTTACTGGGTGTTTTCGATCTTTGTTGTTTGTCCTACCCATTGGGATCTCAGATACGGTAAGAGATACGAAGACTATTTGAGATACGACATTGTCATGTTTCTCCTGTACAAGGTGGCATAATTGGAATTTTAATATAATGGTTCGTCTCTTGTCCTCAATCATCAGCTTTTTTTTCTTATTGACGCCATATTAGATTTTGGTACAGCAGAATGGTAGTTTTTAATTCTGATTCTGAAAATGTATAATATACCATGCCTCCTTTAACCTTTTCATTCTTTGTCTGCAATCTTCCCTGATTTCTAGTTGACTAGAAGACGAAAAAACAAGCTGATCGACATATTTTAATACAAAGTCAAATCTTCGCTTTTCTGTCTTCTAAGGATAATTCGATATAATAAATTAATAAATTTAAGAAGTGGAGAATATCTTTTGGCTTCACTCATCATTGTTACCGTTACGGCGTATAATGACAACGCTAGAAGACTAATCATCGTCCTGTCTTTGTTATAAGTATAATAATGTGGGAAGATGAAGCGTATATGATTAATGTACTTCTACTGCAAATTACAGTTCCTTGTTAGCCCTTTCAAGATCTTATGACTGCATTCAGCGGCCATAAAATACATATAAAGGGTTTCACTATGATATATTGTTTACAAGTATTTATGAACTTCAGAGAAACAGAACTTTAGCAGGTGATTATTTGCGCGTTACAATAATAATGTATTTATATCATCCCATTGTTTTGAATGTAATAAGTATAGAATTCTGATTCCGCAGAAGTGAGTAATTTTAGTGACTATGTCGATTGATTGACGTAGTCTAGCTGAAGATAGCCGATCATATACTGTATTCCGGCATTCAAAAAAGGGATCTGAAAGTTATAAGCGTCATCTATGAGACAGTAGCTGAGCACAAAAACGTATTCAGAAATCTACTCGGAAAGAGAGTGAACTAGTAATATAGCCGTCGTTCGTCCGACTACAAACGGTCAGCAATGGACAGCGGTGGCTCTCGACAATAGTAGAATCAATACTAACTCTTTACAAAGTAGATTTCTAAACTCAGTTTTGTGTTCTGCCACCGTCTCATAGATGCCGCCAGTATCTTTCAGACCCCTTTTTGGACGCCAGAATCCATCGTATAGTTGGATGTTTCAAGTAGAGTACGTCAGTCGATGATAAGCCGTATTTGAGAAAAGTATCTTACTCTGGGTGAGAAAGATTGGCCGATATGTATCATATTCCTTGAAAAAGTATATTATAAATTTTTATAATAAAATGATTCTATTCCATGTTAGTGTTAGAAATCAGTAACTATGTTAGATAGTGGCTACTGCATCACGATGCATCACTTCCTCCAGGAAAATGATAAGATAACGTAAGCTTCACTATGAAAGTGGGATAAAAATATTCTATTACAAAATATACAAGAATGAAATAATCACTTCAATATCTAAAATTATCCAGGATTACGTATTTTTTTGATTTTCGCATTTTGTAAACAGTTATGATCTATCCAGCGAGAGCAAAGTGCGTAGTGGAGGTAACTAGAGCGATAGGTGTTGTCTATCTGATAGAATCGATGGCATGACCTGGCGAAGGTGCAAATATTCCGGTGTCATCATTTGTTAAATTGTCCCTGACGTCAAGTCGACTAAATGTCTGTTAATTTTATTAATATCAGAAAAACTCTTGTTGGCGCAATCATCGCGAATCCAACGAATACATAAATATACGAGGGACATTTTAATAAGTAAGAACCCTTTGCGCATCCTACCACGTGGCGTCCGCGAGAAGTACGCTGAGTAAATTCGGTTTATAAAGGCAAAAAGTTCGCCCTGTTATAAATGCTGACAAGCACATTATTGAAGCTTACGTAAGCGCGATATATTCAAAACTGCTCATTGTGCTTCACGGCAACGCTCACGTTGCCGCAAAAACACAGACGCGACAGAACAAGCTTCGTTGGGATGTACTGGATCATCCACCATACATCCATATTTTAGCACCATCAGTCTTTCGCTGGGAAAATAATGGCACATTGAAAGAAACAGTTACTTACTGGTTTAACACCAAGATGTCAGCGTTGTTTTGCTGGTGCCATGACGTGAAAAATGTTTAAATGTACATGTTGACTATATTGAAAAATGAAAAAAAATTCATATTTTAGTTAGTGGTACAACTAACGTTCATAAATAATTTTCTATGCCTCCATTACCATACGGTTCTTTTTTATAAAATGAGCCACGTATCGTGGAGCTGCATTTCCGCATATGCATTCCCAAATAAAGGTTTTCGAAATCTATGCTACCCGTTAGTATTCGATACTGAGATGCGGTAAAATCGGGATCATGATCTAATATCTCCATGACCCTTACAATGCAACTATCTGCAATTCAAATCTGTAATATTAGATAAGATACGGCAATAAATTAATAATCCTGAGAAAGACAATTATCTGTAACAGTATTAACACGATATATTAACATATAAACACATTCTCGGTCCATGCTTCTAAGAACAGGGTACATGCATGCCATTATCTAGAGTAGGGTATTGTCAAGAGTATACAGACTAAGGAGTAATAAGGTCACTTCGCTGTTAGATCTGTTTCTACATGGGATATGAAGAACCGGTGGTATTTCGGACAATCGGAAAGGAGGTGGGCTGATAAGAGCCATTTTTCGCCTATGTGACATATATATTTATGAAGCGTATACTCCATAACAAAGAAGAAAACATATTTATTTCAAATGAAAACTGAAATTCGTGGTATACATAAATTAAATAATTATCTGGTTGTGATATACAGTGCTTTTCTTTAATGTCCCCCTCCCCTTTGATTTTTTGAACGGATCAATTTAAAAACTTGGGGTAATGAAATTGATGCGTGGATACCATATTTTAGAGTAAAACTGACAGATGAAAATGTCAAGATGGCCGCTGGAAAAAAATTATATGAAAACGGGGTCTTGTGGCACATCATTGTGAAGCTCCTGACGAGTACTTTATAACCCTAGAATATAAAGTCAATACCTTTACCTAATACAAAATGGTGGTACATTTAGTAATTACCTGAATACATTGACATTTAAGGACAAACCTCACATACATTCGCGACGGAGGAAGTAGACTGTTGGGGATTTACTATGATCTCACCAATTATTTGAACTTGCTTTTCTTCCGGGATGGTCGGATGACCTATGGGCTTTTTATTGTTTACACTACCAGTAGCTGTGAATTTAGATACTAGGTCCCTTAAATAATTTCTACAGATAAGATGATTCGGGAAACGATCATTACAAATCCTATCGGTCTCCTGAAAGTTACGCGTCGCACCATAAATAAAAATCGCTTCGATTTTTTCTTCCAATGGACGAGAATTGACCATTTTAAAAATAGTTCAAACGGTATCTAGCACTAAAACCGAAAACTAAATAAGAATATTTCAACTGTACAATGATGTTGGTTTTCGTACTGATATTCTTGTCAATGTCAACAAAAAATAACAAAACAAGTTTTTATCGCTGTTGCTGTGGATACGGTAGGAATTACAATTATTTGTAGAGATATGCATGTTAGTGGGTTTGTGTTCAAGTAATGATTAAATGCACCACCATTTTGTAGTAGGTAAAGGTATTGACTTTATAATCTAGGGTTATAAAGTACTCGTCAGGAGCTTCAAAATGATGTGCCCGTTTTCATATATTTTTTCCAAGATGGCGCCCAGCGGCAAACTTGACATTTTCATCTGTCAATTTTACTTTAAAATATGGTATCCACGCATCAATTTCATTACCTCAAGTTTTAATTTTTTGAATTGATCCGTTCACAAAATCAAAGGGGAGGGGACATTAAAGAAAAGCACTGTATGTTTATTAAACAATAATAATAAAAGATAATCAGTTTTCATACTCATATTGTTTTACTGATCTTCTTCCTTGTCTTCTTCATTCGAATCACTATCAGACCTACCTATACCTTTACTACGTAAATACTTTTCGATCAAAATCATGTCTGAACACTCTCGCAGCATATATTACGTATTTTTGGATTGATGCGCTCACTGAACCAAAACAAATAAATACTCATATACAAGCTTATAATAAGTAGACTCACTGAGCATTAAAGTTAATGTGGTTCATGGAACGCTTCGTAGGGAAAGCATGATTCAAATATCGAAAAAAAACAAAAATGCACAAAAAGCGCTAAATACTCTACTTCTTGGCAATAATTTCTACATTATTTATACCGTAAATATCATATTATGAAAAAATACACGTCTTTTAATTCACAAATAAACTCAATAGTCTGGAATCGAACTTTTCATTTTTGAGTGTGTTATGGGCGAAAAATGGCCCTTATCAACCCACCTCCTTTCGAGAGTAGGTCTCAAAGGAATCGGGATTTTAGATATTTTTGGAATTTTAGGGTCAAATTTAGTTTTAGCGTTAAGATCAAGTCAAAACAGACTGCTTTGAGGTTAATTCCAATTCCATTGTTTTTATAAGAAACAATATATTTCGCTATGAATCCGTCAGGAAGTTATTACCGCTTGAGGGCGCAACAATCCAAAACACATTACTGTGCCTTGGCTAACATGATGCGTCTTCGCGAAAAATTCGATTTCGGTGGATGGTGCAGTCCTGTCAAAGAACCATACATTTAAACTCGTCGGAGTTCAGATTAATGAGTACTTTTTTCCACATAATCTCCGCACCTAGCCTCGAGTATTACCCACGTTTGAGGTGCTGCCGCCCCGATTACATTATCCATACTCGTTGCTGTTCAGAAGAGGGCTACTCGACAGATTGATGACACTTCTCTAACGGACAGTGTCGAGACCCTTTCGCACCGACGGGCGGTCAACGTTCTTGAATTTTCTACCACTGTACCAACGGGTTTTTGCTGGCACGCGTTATGCCTAACATACCAACAATGTCGAACTTCATAAATCGAGAACTGGC